GAAAAATGTCCTCTGTTCTTTACTCGCAAAGATAAATATAAAAAAAACAAAATGTGGGAAGCACTTGTGGCGAGGCTCCTTCCTCAAACACTTCTCCCTCGGGAAACCTTGCGGGAGCTTGTAGGCAGAAAAACACACCACCGCTGTTATGATTTCCTCCCGATAAGAACTATTCCCCGCTCGACAGCTTCACGTCAAACGCTTCTTTTTGATTCTCCAGAACGGTTTTGGGAAATAATTGAAACGGGTTTATTCCCCGTGTATGTGTTGAGGGTTCTTTAGGTTTATCGTGTGTGAAAGAAGAGAAACCCCGAACAGCCACAGTATGTTATCAGTTAATGACTTTATTTTTAAGTATAAACAGTCTGCCCAGTAGAACACATGTGAAATAATTGTTATTCAACGCCTTTTATCCTCAGTGCTGTGTTTTGCATTCCTCTGATCACCCCCTATGGCATATGCAATTTGATACAATATGCTGAGTAATAGAAAGTCTGCTCCGTAATTGGCCAAACAACCCAGTGGTGGTGCATTTAAAAGCCTCAAGCTTGGGGAAAATGAAAAGCGAGTGATTATTCCGGGGCCTGTGGTAAATGAACCTCATAACGAGCGGGGCGGAGTGCGAGACAATTGGGAACGCTCCGGTTTCAAAACAAAGCAGCGGAGGTCAGGCCTGTGGAGCCTTGAGTGGAAGGGGGGGGGAAAAACAGCACTCTTACGACACAAAGTAGACCTCGCTTTGGCATCGTAGTCTAGTTAGATGGTTTTGAGGCTGGAGGCGAATTTCTTAATGCTGCATAATCCTCTGCAGCGTCCTCGTATCCATATTCATAGTCTTATGCATATTCCCTTTCTCTGAATACGTTTTCCAGGGGCCTCTCAGTTTGCATGACCTCCTCATGACCCGTCCTCCGAGGCTCCAGAGGATGCGAGTTTACGGGGGAAAATGGCCGTGGAATGATTCGGCGGCGTGCAATCTGCCATCTGTGCCCGGGCGCAGTTATGCCAAGGTGAGAGAAAGGGGCTCGTCGAGACCAGCTGGGGGAGCCGGCAAACAATCCTCTTCGTCCTCCAGGAGAAAAGTGGCACGCCGGGAAGCCGTGTGCTGCTTTGAACTCGGCCTGGAGGGGTTTTGGGGGTCTGCTGGATGTTCTTTTGTTGCTCGATAACTGACTGGGATGTCTGGAGGTAGGTGCAGTTGTGTCTAAGTGTGTGAATGTCGACACGTACGTTCAGATTTCTTACGTTTTTGATTGCTTTAAAAAAGGTTGAATTGTATTTCGCATTACGTGTGTTTTTTGTATTTTTCCGTGATGTCTCACTCTTTTTATACAAACGAGGCAAAAATAAAAATTACGAGGTGAACAAATTAAAGACATTTTAACAACCTCCCTCCAGAATATGACATGAAAACCACATTCAAGGATCCCTTTAATATAATTTACTTTCATACAGATTCATTATAAAATCTGTACTACGGCTGTATTATCACATACTTCTCCCTCATTCTGTTCAGGAAGTCTGTTTGGAGAAATAGCTGAAACCACAATTGCCCCCCCCCCGTCTAGACCGCACACAGACGCATTTTTCACTTACACACATCCATGAATTCCCGCTCATTTTAATTTATGCAGATGTATCCATCGGCAAAGAGTGTGAATCGGTGCAACCACGAGACGTCGTTGAGCATAGAGTCATAAATGAGCACAAACAATGTTAGGCTGATGGGTCGAGCAGTATGCAAGATTAGCCGTGGACAGACGGACGGACACACACGCACATAATCTCCTTGCAGAGATAATAAACTTCCGTGGGACCTCTACCACTCAGATCAATATTAGATGTATCTTGTATTATGCATTCATCGATTCATTTCAATTCTGTTCACGTTAAGTTTTGACTCAAGGTTCTCAACGAGCACAGCGTCAGTCAGCAGTCGCTAGTTCTCCCCCCGGAGGAAGCATGGCAGTGAGAGCGATATTTACTTGCCACTCAAAGGTGAAACCCTGACGCAGCTCAGCGATTAAAAGCACAGAAGCTATTAATCTTTGTCCCGTCTGCCGCTCTCCAAACATTTGATAAATATACAGCAAACACAAGTCGATTTTGGACGTCGGCGTGCCTCTGAGACTCAACATTCAAATTTGTTGTGAGATTACTTCTCTGCAAAAACAAATCAATGGCAGTGGGGCAGAATAAGCTCCAGACTTATGCTTCCTGTTGTGTTGGCCTTTGCAATTGCAATCCTTTCATATTTATTCCCAAAGTCTAGAAATACAGAATTTGACTTCCCGTTGATGTAATACGAGGACACTAAACCCTCGTTGTCTTAATTAGAGTTAAGTGAAATGAAGCTGCCGAGGCCTGAAGCTTCGTTGCAAGATACTTTTGGGAAAACGGTTAATTAGCTATAATGTTGCATGTACTCAAAGAACCGAATCAGACTGCCCTCCAAAACATCAACTCTTTTTACAGTTGAAATTCAGGATTCTTAATCTCTGACGGCCAATTCTCCAACGTGAGATCAACACAGACGTCTGTGGAAGGTCTGAAGTGGTCTCACGACAACAGAACCTCGTACATTTTGTTGCTGTAATTGGTGAGCTTCAGATGCTTTCCCTGTTTTCAGTTGTTATGCTAGGCTACGCTAATTGTCTCCTGGCTCTACCCTGTTGAACACACGGAGACGTGAGAGTTGTATCAATCTTCTCCTCTAACTCCCGGCTACGAAGTGCATGCATTTCCTAAAATATTGAACTATTGCTTCATCATATTTGACAGCCACTCCCAAGCGTCTCTTTCTTCCTCACTGCCCTGTGTGAAGAGCCTCTTGGTCTTTTTCACTGGGTCATTTATTCCAATATAGTTCCAACAACTCACTGCGCTAAAGGCTTTTAACGTTGATTTATCGGGCTTGGTCTCGTTCTTTACACCTGGAATAGAGATCCGGATTACCTCTGTCCACGCAGTTGCACTTAAATGCTATTGTGAGTTGATTGGCTCATTTTGGGGTGTAATTAATCTCTATTAAAACCACATCCATCTCACTCCGTACCTGAACCCTCTCACTGCGCCTCAGAACACAAACCCTGGGGAATGTGCCTGAAGAGACGGTGAAAAATAAAGAGTTTAAAAGACAGAAAAACAATTCACTCGTGACACGTAGAGGTGATTCACAAGAGTAATGGCAGGCTGTGTTTTCTCTTTAACTGCATACCTGTCTGCTTCTAGCCTCTCCCTTTCTGAGCCCCGTCTCTCTCTGTCTCTGATAATCTGAGCTGGTCTTAAGCCTCCATCTAAATTGTACTCCCCCCCCCCCCCCCCCCCCCTCCGTCTGATTCCGTCCTCACTGCGAGGCCCGAGAAATCCTCAGCAGATGACTGAGACTGTTCGTCTGTCTCCGTGCTGCTGACAGACAACACGGCGTTCAACGTGAAAACAAGGCTATTTCGAGCAGAGATGGAATGCATGAATTTATAGACGGAGTGTGTGTGTGTTTGTGTGTGTGTGTGAGAACCTCACAGACATTTTTCTTTGCACTTGTTTGACATTGTTTTCCGAAACCTGTCAACACGGAATGCTTTGTTGAGAACAGCGTGGAGGGAAATGCGAGCGTTTTGTGCCTGTCGCGCTGCTTTTATCCTCGAGACGTTCACACACGCACGCTGCACACGGATACGCATCGGGAAATAAGTTCCTGTTGATCTGGATCGCACAGCAGCCATCTTACATTTAAATTTAACACACTAGTAGTTAAATTTAGCACGGTAGAGAGAACAACCAAGTATAAGTATACAAACGTACCGAATAGCTACATGAAATACCACTTTCTTGACCAAAGTTACTTTAACTTTCGACAAGTTAACACAAATTCAGAGATAATTCAATCAGGCGGAATACCACCATGAACAATAGTACTTAAGTTCAGTACTTGGTTAATTATGCACTTAGTTACGGTACATTCCACCTCAAACGTTGGCCTGTCTGACACTTTATGAATGCTGTTGCATGCTAAACTCTCATAAATTCATTTGGTGAGATCCCAAAATGACAGAACTGAGGTCAAACATGTTCAGCAACTGAATCTCCACTGATCCGATTAGTTTTTTAAGCAATTCCCTTTCTGGACATGATGCCGTGCCACTCCGCCTGACCTCGTGTAATCACGTCAGCTCCTCTCTCTCCACCATTCTGGACCGATAAGCTCGCGCTGTTTGCAGGCCTCTCCCCGTCCGTCACGCGAATCCAGGCCGGGAACACGGCTAAAACATGACTGACAGCGTGCAGCAAGAGTAGATGAAAAAATAAAAAAAATCCCGCGCGGGGTCAAGGCTAGCTTTGCGGAAAGAATAATCAATCACACCTCAGGTGTCCGGGAGATTAACAGCTGCCATTATTCATACTGGACTCCAGGTGCTCCGTGTTGACTGGAGGACTGGATAGCATCACCTCCACGGAGACAGCCCATAAAAGTTTTTAGCCATAATCAAGCGGCAAAATCGATTCAACAAAGTGCTGCTACTCGGAGAAGTGAAGGTGGGGGGGCTCAATTACCCAGCATGCCGAGGTCAGATGTGTAAAGGGGGAAACGCAAGGTCAAGCGTTGCATTATATCTTCTCCCTCACTCCTATCACTTCCAATTTACTAAATACAAGAGCGCTGTTCTTTCCTCCTCGAGCTCCGGAAGATAATCGACAATGAAATTAGGTGTCGGCGGGATGGGGGGGGTGTGGAGGATGTGACGGCTCGGGGCAGATGGGAGATAATCGCAGGACACAATAACTGGCAGCCAGGAGAATCTGCCCCCGGGGACCTTCTTCATGGTCGTAATGAGCGTAACCTTGTCTGGCTCGGTGAAGAAAGTCAAATACGTGCGCGCTAGCATTTACTTTGGGTACGTGGACGCCCGTAAATAAAAGCTCAATAACATCCCCGCTCTCTCACACTTAACGGAAGCTCAACTCCCCCCCACCCAGAGCAGTATTGACTCACACACACACACACATGGAAGGAGTGTACACCTCCCCAATCATGACAAATCATCCTTTTTCCACTGGCTGTCTCACCTCAGGGGCCTGTGACAACAGCGTCAGCCCAGATGAGGGAGAAGGCTCACCGGCGTGGAGTCATTGAACACGGCGACCTGCTTTGACTTTCATGTTACCGGCGCTGCTTTATTTCATTTTTGTCCCGCTGATTGAACAAAGTCTCTCAGATCATGACTTTAATCATCCCAGTTCATCTTCTTTTCTTTTTGTGTAAGGGGGGGGGGGGAGGGGGTAGCTGAACAGCCGGCAAATTGAAGCAGTTTAATCTCAAACTTTGTGTGACACTGAGTTTCAATGTTTTGACATGTATTGCTTTTTTTTTTATTCTTGCAATTGCAAATTCAGGATAACAGTAATCAGTCCTTCCTCTGCATTGCATTGTGGTCTACGGAGACCGTGTCTACGTGTGAGACATTGGTATCTTTGCCTGTGGGACTGTCCATCGCCGGAGCAGAGTGATGCATCTAAAGAGAATACTCAATGGGACTGATGCTCACCTTTGTGTGAGACATAGAGTGACCTAAAAGGAAAGCATATCCTCAACATTAATCTAAAAATCCAAACGTATATTTTCTGTATTGCAGGTCGTCACCAACAGCTGTTCTCTCTGCTGGATCTTCTGGCTCTCCACATTTTGAAAACCCTCTGATGGTAAGGTAGGTCAAATACAAACACACGTCTTAATCATAATCCCATTTTTACTTGCTCATTGACCTTTGGCATCGGAGATTGAAGCACTTGTTACCCCTCTGGCGTAACATACATACTGATGGCTTTAGTTATTCTTCTCCGTCAGTCTGTCGCAGCTCCCTGAGTGGGACGCCACAGTGCAACGGGACTCAATGAGCTGGGCGAGCGACAGCTGAGCTCAGAAGTTGTCAGCCAAGGTCAATCATGGCCTCGTTTGCCGTGAAGCCATTAGCTAATCCCGCTAATGGGCCTGTTCAGAGACTGTATCTGATTGGGAATTTGCTCTCAGAAGGCGTGCGACTCACACTGCAGCGCACTAATGTTAGCACAGGGGCTCGATCCAGGGGGATTGAACGAGGGGGAGGTGAGAAATATGGGGGGCCGAGGTGCGACAAATCACACGGAGCGCGGCGTCTCCGGTTCCCGGGAGCAGCGGCTGCATCCGCAATGAACGGGCGAGGCCGTGGTGGAGTTTAATACGGCTGTCCACACACCGGTTTTTATTCATCCCAGTGGGGACATTTGTTTTTATCGCCGGGGTCAGCAGAGCGAGGGTCCCCGAGGAGCTCGTGAGCCGGCATCCCTGGATTGGAAGACGACGAGTGTCTCGCCCTGCTTCCCAAGTGAACCGGGAGATTAACCGCAGACCCCCTGCATGTGAAACCGGCTCTCCCACTGAGCGACGTCCGGGGGTCAAAGAGCTGGAGAGCACACAAATGCAATGAGCTCAGCATGACATCCGTCCAGACCGGCACGCGTGTGTACAGAACGTCACATCTCACATCCTGTTGTCACATCCTTTCCACCGGGGTACGTTTGATTTGACAAACAGCCGCAAGTGGCGTCGGCAGGCTGTGCAAAATGTATTCATGAATGCCGAACGGCACATTAGCAGGGTTCACTTCAAATGAAAGAAGTACAGCAGGAAAGCCATTATACCAAATAATCTCCTGGATTTTTAAAATCCACGCATCCCTGTTATTTAGCAACGGGGAACAAAGGTCTGCACTTAATGCAGGCAGCGCTGCTTACACCGCCGTGTGCAAAGCCTCCACGACCTGCCTGCAGAAATGTGAATTACCACTCGAATGCCTCGGTAATGGAGAGGCGTACCCGAGGGCCAGTTCCTCAGAACTCAACAATACTCGCGGGTTATAATTTGCAATTTACGTCTCGCTCTTGTAATTGTGATTTTTATCGGGGGGGATTCAGCGTTGGGGGAAATGGTTAACGGTCCAGATAAGGAGGAAATTGCGTTCTGTCGTCGTCCCTTGATTTGTGCCGACGCCACCTGCAGAATACCGGATGCTCTCTTTCACAGCACAGCACAGCTGGAAGGTCACCTTGGAGCTGCAAAGACATTTTTGAAATTTAAAAAAAAAAATGCAAGCTATGCAGGTTAAATTGAATCATTTTGTTAAAGACCCATTTTCAATCAGAGACTAAGTACATAGGATAGGGGAGGATAAATCCGTGTGTGTGTGTGTGTGTGTGTGTGTGTGTCCCTTCCACACTTCTATTAATGAATGACAGCAAAGTTACTACAGGGCCCTCTTCTAGTTCAGCCCCTCCCTGTGGTCACAGCCCCCCCTGCTATTGGTGCTGTAATAATGATTGTGACAATGAAAAGCATTAATGGTAATGACCGCCATCGGTAAAAGTATAAATTAGGCTCTCGATACATTGCGGACGCTCTCCACTTCCCCTTTGGGTTAATGATACGTCTTGGAGTGTGGATTTATTCCACAATGGCCGCTGTAATCTCAGCTTTTAATGGGACTAAACCTGACTGAGGGAAAGACACGGGAGGTTCATCGGAGTCGAGTCCAGACACAAATGAATACATATCAAAGTAATATCCGATTCATGACAGAACACTAATGAGAGTCCCTTATGCTGCTCCGTTAAATGCTAGTAATAGCCACACGTTTTGTTTATTAAAGGTCAAGCGGCTGTTTTCAGTATTCCAGGCATAGCAGGAACATCACCTCCAGGGTGGAACTGTCTCTTCTCTCTCTCCAGCCTGAAGCCGGGTCTCATTTTAATTCCCTCTCTTCTCTGCAACATTTAAATTCTGACTCAACGTCCCGCCACCCTCGGGCCCGCTATCGACAAGGCAGAAAGAAAAAAACACAAGGGCGGTCTCCTCCTCCATCTTATTGCCCCCCCATCTCCGCGCACGCAAGCACCAACCAATTTGCCGGCCAACCCTCTCAGTGAGCTGCAATGGTTTCTGGACTGTCAGCGCTTTGAGTCTTAGAGACTCGCCGTGCGGAACGCGGCAGGGCGAGTCAGTAAAACAAATGATCCTTATGGGAAATTAAGGGGAAGGTGTAATTATGATACAATAATCAGTGTGAATGCACCTGCACCAAATGAAGGGAGTTTACTTTGTGACCTAACCATCAATATCCTACTCGAGCTTAATGGATAACACTTAATGAGCTCTGAAGAAAATCGTACTTGTATTTAACACCCGGCCCACATTTGGAAGGAGAGAAGAAGCAGCGTGTTTGGGCTGGGCTTGTTTATGTGGCCTGAGATCATAGGAGGCGAACAGAGGGGCTCGCTTATCACACCCGACAGAGACGCGTCCCCTCGGCCTCCGGCGTCTGTTTTCATCAAACCGAGTTGCACTGACACTACATGGCACGAAGTCAAACCGCGTCCTCTCGCTGGGTGAATTGGCGCGGGAGGGCCCAGCGAGATTAGAACGCATCCGAGGAATGCTAATTTCGCCCAGGAGTCTGCAAGACTGGAGATGTTGTGATTAAAGACTCAATTTCCCAGAGGTCAGCGCGGCGTGATCTACCTCTGACTGATGGAGTCCCTGCGACATGTGCACGCTCCTGGCGCAGCGGCCTGCGTCAACACCTGTTAACACGGAGTAGGGAAGCGGGTGAAATATCCCCGTCATGAATGCAGTTGGTTAAGTAGCTGTGTCATGCTTTCAAACTGCTTCTTCGTGGTTTGGTTTATGTAAGCTGGAAAAAAAAGTGGAGGGAGAGGCCTACAGCAGCTCCCGGCTATAAAGGGCCAAAGCCCTGAAATGCTGCCATCCAGCATTATCTTCACGGAGCAGGGAGCCTCTGCCGTGCATTATCCCAACACGAGTCTCAGAGGGAAAGGCTTTTTAGAGCAGCAGGTTCTCGTAATGCGATTGAGCTTCGCTGCGACGGCACCAACTGCCACTGACGGCGCTTTTCTCTGTTCGTTACAATCATCTGGTCATTTGAACAACCGACTCACAGCTAGAATAATACATATCTGTTTTTGAAGGGACGTTTTGTTATCCTCCAAATCGCATATACTTTTCGGGGTTTTTCCACAGCCTACCATTCATCTTTAGGTGGCTCCTCTGACGGCTCCTTGCAGGCAGCATGTGATTGGTATTCATTTCTGCTGCCGGGTTGCTGGCACGGAAACTTGCTCCAGATATGTAATCCATCACGGTGCCCGCTTCCTTGCCCTTGTTTTTCAGTCAGAGTTATTCAATCATCATGTGATGACGCGGATAAATTTTCTCTAATTCAGCGGTGCATTATATATATACGGAGCCCCAAAACGGACTAAAAGACAGTGTTGAAGCACAGTATAAATAAATCCGTAAATGCTACAGTATTTTTTGTCAACAATTTAGATTCAAATTTTCCTCAATCTCCGATGAGTTTAAATCTGTAAATAAGTAAAGTTATTGGTTTCTGCTCATGGCCTAAGGCCCCGCTGAAAAGCTGACCATGCAAATATAAATGTAAGATGTAAATGTGTAATATTAGAGTGTAACAAACAGAGCAGGCAGAAATGGTAAAATATTGGTTTCTGTGCTAAGAGGTCAAGACGGAGATAATTTCACTACATTGAGTCCAGTGTTTGAACAAGGATGTGTAATGTACAGTTTATTAGAAGCATTTACCGCAGGCCTTTTAAAAACTGTTGGTTGGCTCATGGGTCATAGTTTGGCCACCCCAGAGTTTGCCTGGCAAACATTAATATGCTAATACAAAATACATGAAGTGGAAGTTAAAAATTGTAAATTTGCAAGTCAAAAATAAACAGAAGTCAAATTTATTTATTACATCTACATATTAGAACCAGCTCTCATTTCTTACCCAGTGATTGGAGGTTAAGATACAAGAATAAAGCTTTACTCTCCTTTTTACATTACATTTTTATTATTTAATTAATGTCTGCAGGGAACAACCAGATTTCATGTGTCATGTTTGCCTACTGTTTGTTGTCAGACTTTGTTCGAAGTGTCCTTGAACGCACCACTAGTCAGCCCAACACGCCCATGAGACAGGCACACAGGTGATTTCACTCATATAGGTGATTAGTCAGGACTGTGTGGGTGTGGACGGAGTAATTAGCCTCTTTCTAACCCCCCTTTTGCACATGTTAAGGGCGGGAATAACATTACCGATCTTATTGGTCCATAGAGTCCTGAGGCCGCGCATAATCACCTAGCGAAGCTCCATCCACCGCCAATGTGAGCAGAGGTCCAATTAGCTGTGATGGACAGAATCGTATTTAACAAAAGGACATCAGGTATTTGACTACTAGCAGGAAGGTTGTAAACAATACTGATGATACTTGATCTCATTTTCATTATAGTATTCATTAATGGGAATTTAATCACTCCACATAAAGGGTTTAAAACTATTAGATAAAACTGGTTTTTAGCAACAACTTTACTGCAAATAAGTTGAAATGCACCGATCTTGCTGGATTTCAGAGAATACCCACACTTTGCAAGTGTGGGTATTTGCAAGTAGTCAAGTCAATAGCTGCCAGCGGAGCCCAGGTGCTCGTAACGACTGCGAGCCAGTTTATCAGAGCTCACCGGGACACGTTTGATTAATCACACAAACACTATGCACGGAACAGTCGAGCTCAGACACTTTGTTTTATTTAATTCCCACATAAAGCATAAAAAAACAAGAACATGCATACAGCATTAAAGTTACAATCCGATGACAGTGAACACAATAAGGAGCTGGGAGGAAGAATGCATCTAATCAACCGAAACCATTTAAAACCATTCTGTGTTTTTAAATAACTACATTTAATTAAATGTAGTTATTTAAAAACACAGAATGGTTTTAAATGGTTTCTGTCTAATAACTTTTTAAAAAAAGGAACCATTTGACATTTGGGAAATACACTTACTCGCTTTCTTGCTGAGAGCCAGCAGGTGATTAGCTTAGCCTAAAGCTAGCAGCAGCTAGTTAGCTTAGCGTAAAGACTGAAAACAGGGGGAAACGGCTAGCCTGGCTCTGTTAGCGCCTCAAACAGTATAGATAGTGAGCTTTAGAGCTCACTGAGCCAGTCTAGCTGTTTCAGTCTTTATGCTACGCTAACTAGCTGCTGGATATAGCTACATAGTTAGCATATAGACATGAGGTATCAATGTTTTCATATAACTAAGCAAGAAAGCAAAAAGGCTTATTTCTGGAACTATTTCATTTTGTCAAAAACGCTGATTCTATATTTCATATTTAATTATAATACATAAATATTCTGACCACATTTAGCAAGAACAATAGATTCCCTCCGTCACAGTGAGGGTACAGGAAATGTTAACCGTATGTGAAGGTGTAATGTTTGGACATGAATAATATAAATAATATGTATACTGGTTTGGAGCAGTAGACTGTGGTGAATTGTGGGAAACACTTCTGAATAATGCTGCATCTTAGATAAACAATTGCCAACATAACCCAAAGGCACTTAGTAACTTCCTTACCCCCAATCGGGTGTGTAGCTCACAAAAATAAATACTGTAAGAGTGAACAGGTGCATGTTCTTTTCTTTAAAAAAAAATCTGAGATGATTACCGTCTCTGTCCATGCACAGCAATTACATTGCTCTTTAAAGTTTGTTTCTCTCGGCTGCCTCGCTAATTGGCCACTCTCCCCCTCCCCGAGCACGTTAGCTGATTGGTGCTCCTGTGGTAACCAACTTGTAGTAGGCTCCATTCAGCGCCATGAGCTGGTCGTGCGTTCCTTTCTCAATCACGTAGCCCCTGGACATGACGGCGATGATGTCCGAGTTCTGAATGGTGGACAGGCGATGGGCGATGACGATGCACGTCCGGCCCTCCCTGGCTTTGTCCAGGGCGTCTTGCACCGTCTGTCGTGACGCAAACAACAAACGCGAAGCGGTGTTCAGTTCTCCCCACACAGAAGACACACGCGCCTCACAATTATAGCAATTTCACAATCACACGCTGATTCCCATCATTAGAATGTTCCAGTGCATCAGTGCGCCGCAGAGGCCTCTTTGCTCCTCAGCGTGGTTCAGCTGTTTGAGGTGGAAAAGCTACTGCATAGCCCCCCCCCC